TTCTTTGTTTACATCTTTCATTTGTTTTGTATCATCCTCAGCCCCTGTCAGCTCCTTCTCTTTACGTCTTCGAGTCATCCTTGTTATCTGTTCCACTTTTCTTATGTCTCCATTCCTTGTTCCTCCATTCCTGGTTTTACTAGTCCTTCCTTATTTATTCCTCATTCTATTTTCCTCAGTTTCACATTTCTGCCTCCGTATTCCTTCCATTCCGTTTCCTCCAGTTTCCTGCTAATAAATTCCACATTCCATCATCTGTGTTATTCCATTATGCATCTCCCATTCCATCCCTTGTAAGACCTTTTCACCTTCTACCATCCTCCACGCCCTTCCATTCCGAGTCATTCCGTTCCATCTTCTCCTGTTCCACATATCACAAGTTTTCCAGCATGCCATATTTTCTTGAACCAGAGTATCGAGGCTTCAGACTAGCACCAGGGAGGCAATATGCATTAAATAATCCTGAGAGCTTTTTCTTTAAGTTTCGCCAGCCAAGTAATCCTAAATTTCGTCTATAATTTCGAAAAATTTACATCACTTATGACTAGCTAGGGATAAGTGTGTACATATGTAAGAAGGAAATAATTCCATGTGATCACGTGAGCAATATGTAAATGTAACGGACAGGAGATGGAAACTTTGTTGTGTGAATATTGTTTCACCAAACTTTGAGATAATAATAATAATAATAATAATAATAATAATAATAATAATAATAATAATAATAATAATAATAATAATAATAATAATAATAATAATAATAATAATATTAATAATAATAATAATGATAATAATAATAATAATAATAATAATAATAATAATAATAATAATAATAATATTATTATTATTATTATTATTATTATTAATAATAATAATAATAATAATAATAATATTAATAATTATAATAATAATAATAATAATAATAATATTAATAATTATAATAATGATATTAATAATTATAATAATAATAAAATAAATAATAATAATAATAATAATAATAATAATAATAATAATAATAATAATAATAATAATAATAATAATGATAATAATAATGATAATAATAATAATAATAATAATGATAATAATAAAAAAAAAAAAAAATAATAATAATAATAATAATAATGATGAAAATAATAATAATAATAATAATAAAATAATAATAATAATAATTGTTATCGCTGCTGGCTTCACCTACACAGTGCTGGCATGTGCTGCCTTCAGCACCTCCACTCAGAACTGAGTGCCTCCCAGCACCTCAACCGATGTGCCACCTATGTCTACGACTGTCACCTTACCCAAACAAACATAAATCTCTGAGCCTACGACCACGTACGCCTCGACCTCCCTTGTAGACTGTAGACTCTAAACTAGCCCCCTTGGGGGCACTCTCTACACTGTAGAGAGTGCCCCCAAGGGGGCTAGTTTATTGGGTACCCCCTTACACACTGTGCAAGGTGAAGTGCAGAAGCGTTTACAGCGCCCATTTGGGAAGCATGCGTAGTTCATGCTTGCTTTTATGACTCATGCATTAAGGGCGTAAAAGCCTGAAGGGTCATGGATTTTGTCAGCAAGTTACATAAAGTGACAGAATGATGAGTGTGTGGGGGAAAATTCCCAGTACAAATTATCTGTTTATGGCAAAGCGTGGCAGGTCCCTAATAATCACGTGCCAGGCCATAGGCATTGACAATATTGAGGGAGACACCTTTTAGTGTGAGTGTGATGGCGTGTATGTCGGTAGTGTCGGGTTCAAGGAGGACGTCGAGAGATTGGTAGGGGGACGTCCTTCTTGGCGTAGATATGTAGTCCACTAGCATGCCCTCATGGTGGTCCATTGATGTGGAGAACTGGAGTGGATGGGCCCCAGGTGCCGGCATGCTTTTGAAGGACGGGGAGCCGGGGGTGGTGTCCTTGGGTCCATGAGCAGGCGCGGCTTGCAGTGGATGGATGGGGGCAGCAGGGCACACCCGGGCAGGCTCAGTAGGTGCCACGCCAGCAGTAATGCCAGGCGGCTGTGGAGTAGGCCGTGAGCAAGAGGGGCACACAGGGGGGGCTACCAGCTTGTGTCAAACCAGAAGAGGGGGGTGACTGGGTAGCAGCTGAAGGCAGGGGTAGTCTGTGTAGGTTGGAGATGGCGGTACAGAGTGTATCAAAGAGTTTTTCAATACGGTTGGTAAATTCGTGTAAGAGGGATATGATCTATGTCGTGTCACAGGAGGGGGGTTGTGGTGGGCACCGGTGGGAGCACAAGGCCTGACAGCGTCAGAGTAGAGACGGAGAGGAGACCCAGTAATAGTTGAGTTAGGAGACGGCCGGGACTGCTGTGTTGCAGCCAAGTGAGGGCAGGCAGGGGCAGGTGTTGTTGAAGAAGGCGTTGCCAGAGGAGTGGACGCAGAGGGATGCGGCCCGGTAGGCTGGGGAAAGGTTGAGGTTGACGTAGCCTTCGGAGAAGCTTTTCTCCTGGGACAGGCGGACGTTTGGAGCATTGCCGTGAGTCAGCATTGTGCCAGCCACCACAATTACAACACCTGGGGTCAACAATATAGCCCACACCACCCCCATTGAGGTGGTCTTTGATTTTCTGGGCACAGACAGAGGAGTGATGGTTACTTGAACAGAAATGACATCTGGGACGATCATGTCGGTAGCAGGCAGTGAAGGTGTGACCCCAATGGGAGCAGATGACACAAAAAGCAGGCCCGGAGTGATATGGTTCTGCGTACAGTGGAGGGAGGACTAGGTGGGCCTCAACAGTGGTTGGGCACTCCCTCCCCTTCCATTTAACTATGACAGCTACTTGTGGGGTCTTCCGTCGGTAGTGTCGACGTATACTGAGTATACGTGGATTAAAGTTAAGAGCATCTTCGACTGCAGCGTATATGGTGAATTGTTTAACTAAGATGTGGCAGCATTCCGCTGCATCAGCAGGTGGAGGCACGAGGACAACTCCCTCAAATCCAACAGTAGTAAGTGTTTTATAGAACCTCTGGTGTCTGACACTTGATAAAATTACGGTTCTTACCTTTTCGGAATTGAATGGTGAGACCGTGTTGTCTCCAATACTGTAGAGGTGTTGTTACTTCCATGTGGCCGTACGACCTGTGACCGTGCCAAATGTTTGTAAACGTCACAGCCATAGAACAAGCGTTTCGGAGTGTAACAGCCCTAGTTAAGGACGGTCTGGTGACGTGCAAGTCGAAGGGAATTTTTTTTTTTTTTTTAAGGGGATTAGTCCACCCAAGCACAGGTCAATGACCCACATCGGGGCCTAGGGGGCGAAAATATAATAATAATAATAATAATAATAATAATAATAATAATAATAATAATAATAATAATAATAATAATAATAATAATAATAATAATAATAATAATAATAAAGAACCATAAAGAAATACAAAATGAAAAAACAAAAGTGAGAAACAATATATGTATGTTGTGTTGCTAGTATTAAGAGACACAATTGAGATCCTGCAATTGTGTAAATGAGGCAGAAAGTCAGATCAGCAACCTGGGACTTGGCCACAATTTTCGTGATGCCATATGGCAGCAGGGTCTACCATTAGACAATACATTATGCTTCCAATATCTGCCCAGGCGGTAGTACCTCCCTGTTTGGTAGCTGACTAATACCTAAATGATTGAAACCCGACTTTTGATGCAATCAAGATTTTTTGATATGGTCAAAAACCTGCAGAGAACAAGGCGTTCATTAGTATTACATGGTGCTCCATCTGATACATAATTTGTTAGTCTCACACAATTTTATCTTAACTACATAAGATCATTAAACATAGTGACATAATGCAAAGTACACAACTCTATTAATCTTAGCTGCGCTTCATTCCACATTGTCTTAGTGTTCCAGATAAGGCAGAAAACACTTCGCTCACACACAACACAAGGCGTTGCTGTCTCCCATGCCGACGTCCCACGTTGTCCCACGATGTTCCGCGTTGTGTTCCCAGCGGTCGCGGCGTCCCAAGTGGACCTGCGTGGTCCTCCTGGCGGTTGAAACCTCCCTTCGATGTCCCCGCATTTGTTTTTGACTGTAACCGCCTTATTTAAGGACGGTCGGGTGACGGGCACGTCGAAGGGAATGATTGAAACCCGCCTTTTGACGCACCCAATATTTATACCGCCCACGTGGACAGTGTTAATAAATTGTTAGAAATAGTTTAGTTATGAGAGTATTGAAAATGTAGGAGAGGAGAAAGGAACGAGCAGAGGGGATGTTTGCAGCCGACGGTCCTGGTTTCTGATGAGTAGACAGTTCTGCTGGTGGCGGTGACTGCCTGGCCTTCCCTAACTCTTAGGTCACCCCCTGACAGCCATACTGTGAACACCACCCTCTCTGGCAGTAGTGAACACACGAACTCACACTCCTGTCCCTGAGTTTTGTGTTAAGACAATTTATGCAGTACTGTGGTCTCTTGGAACTTATTTACATCGACCCGCACTTGCAAGTACAGCCTACGTGACAAAGTACCCCTCAGTACTGAAATAGTGTGGACTAATTATGCCTACTCGTTTTCTGCCTTATCTGGAACACTAAGACAATGTGGAATGAAGCGGAACTAAGATTAATAGAGTTGTGTACTTTGCATTATGTCACTATGTTTAATGATCTTATGTAGTTAAGATAAGATTGTGTGAGACTAACAAATTATGTATCAGATGGAGCACCATGTAATACTAATGAACGCCTTGTTCTCTGCAAGTTTTTGACCATATCAATAAATTTTGAATGTGTCAAAAATCCGGGTTTCAATCATTCCCTTCGACTTGCCCGTCACCCGACCGTCCTTAACTACGGCGATTACAATAATAATAATAATAATAATAATAATAATAATAATAATAATAATAATAATAATAATAATAATAATAATAATAATAATAATAATAATAATAATAATAGCAATAAATTTATTTTCTATAAGGCGAAACTATCATTCTTTATATATAATATATGAGTATATAATTCATTCCCTCTCCAGGTACACACTGGGTAGAGGCGGTTGTGGCCATCGTGGGTAGCAGGGAACTTCTAGGCAGTACTCTCTCCTGCCACGCCCGCACGCCCACCCACGGCCACACAGACCTCGTACAGCAGCAAACAGCCTCCGTCGTCGTCAATGTTACACGTAAGTATCTGTTTTGTTGGCCGGTGTTAAGGTGATGGATCTAGTGGACGTAGGTGAGGGGTGAAGGTGGCTAGGAGACTGATGGCGGTCTTGGTAATGTGTGTGTAAGAGAGAGAGAGAGATAGAGTTTCAGCGACAGATAAAGTCCTCTCACTGTCTATGATAACTGGGCATTACACTTTGCCCAGCTACAGATTATCTTCATTGACTTTTGTAAAGATAAATATACAATTTTGATATTAATTTAAGGTATTTGGTCACATATGGCTCAGGTTTGATAATTTATAGTACACCCTCGAACTAATGGCAATGTGTACATCCTGGACAAACAAGTGGTATATTGTGTATGATATATCCCCCTAACAGCATGCCTCATTTGATATATATATATATATATATATATATATATATATATATATATATATATATATATATATATATATATATATATATATATATATATATATACATATATAAATTGATCAGCCACATTTACTAATAGAAATCCTGATGATGTTTCAATAAATTCTGGGATTGATATTGCTTTTTGGGGAATTTTCAATATGAGTCAGTTCAATCTCATAATAATCAACTCTGATATCTGATGATGACAGCGTTTTCGTGAAGCTCTCAAATTTAATTTGCAGGATCTATTTTGTTTTATGGTTGTTTCTATAACTAAATCCTGTGTTGGAATTATTGCTGTTGTGCACACAAACACACACACACACACACACACACACACACACACACACACACACACACACACACACACACACACACACACACACACACACACACACACACACACACACACACACACCTGACCCAACACACATCCCTCAGCAAAGCCTGGAAAGACATAAACATAATCAGAGGTAAAAACAGTAGACACGTCTCCCATCCAAACCCTCTGCAAAAGTCGAATGAGCTAATAACAAAGTGGGCTCATGTCTCTAGCTATGACATGTTACCAGCTAGGACTCGGGGATTCCTTGATGCGAAGTCTGTAGAGAGAAGTAATCTTATTAGCTTTATGCTGGGCAAACAGCACGATGAGTGTGATATTCCATATACTGAGTGGGAGTTTGACGCCGCCCTCGCCAGGGGTAGGTCTACTTCCCCTGGAGAGGACGGAGTCACCTACAACATCGTTAGACTACTAAGGCGTGTGCCAGGCAATCCATTGTTGGTATTGTACAATATGAGTCATGCCGAGGGCCAACTACCCACATCATGGACCAGCAGTATTGTTGTACCAATACCGAAACCAGGACAGCCTGATGCTTTTCGTCCCATATCACTAACCAGCTGCCTGTGTAAAACCTTTGAGAGGATGGTTCTTGGCAGACTCTCATATAGAATCAGAGAACACATGTCTCCTAACATAAATGGCTTCACCCATGGTAAAGGTGTACATAATTGCATCACCACATTCCTAACTGTGCATGGTGATGAGAGGCACAGATACACCACATTTCTTGACCTAAAAGCTGCATTTGATATTGCCAATAGGCAACTGATATTGTACGAACTAGCCAAAATGGATATAGGAGGTAGGCTGTTACACTGGATAAGTGGTTACCTAACCAACAGAGGGGCTGCTGCACTGTTTCAGGGTTACAAGAGTGAAGTTAAAGATATGCAACTTGGTACCCCTCAAGGTGGAGTACTTAGCCCCACTTTGTTCAATGTTCTTATAAATGCATTATTAAATTTAATACCAGACAACCCCAGCAATATCTCAATCAGCTATGCTGATGATATTCTTATACATACTAAAACTCATCGTGAAATGCAAACCACCCTGAACCATGTATACGCAGCCTGTGAGAACCTCGGTCTTATTATCTCCACTGAGAAAACTAAGGTGTTCAACAAACAAGCTGGTAACCGCAAACGTGGCCCCGCCAAGTTCAAGATAGGTAACAACACTATTGACTATGTTTCTTCTTTTAAATATCTTGGTGTTTCCGTCCCTTGTACCCTACCTGCCATACAACAGCTAACCCGCCCGCACTATGGTGCTAATATTAGAATTGTTAAAACAATGTACCTAGGCTATATAAGATCTCTGATAGATTACCACGCACCAGCCCTGGTCATTCGTGACGGGAAAGGCGTTGACAAGCTCGAGAAAATGCAAAACAATGCCCTCAGAATTATCCTAGGATGTCCCATGAGCACTAAAGTACTTAATATGAGGAAAGAACTCGGTATACCCAGTGTTAAAGATAGTATAATTGAAGTCAACCTCATGATAGCCCTGAGGCTTCTGCGTGGTGATCCTGATAACATTGTTTCCTTAAAAGTGCTAGAATGTATGAACCATGGGACTACTGAGTCTAAATGGATCCAAACTACAGCTACACATATGAAGATGTTTGGACTAGACCACCTGTACAAAGTTGAGACACAACAGCGCTTCCTGCCACCCTGGCGGACAGTTCCCTTCGATATCACAATACCGACGTATCTGCCTAAAAAATTAATTATACAAAGCATTTATCTCCAACACACTGCCAAATTGAGAGCTCTTGAACACATATACACTCTACAGACTGATGATAATATCACACAGACCATCTACACTGATGGATCTCTTAACACCGCCTGTGGGAGGGCTGGAAGTGCTATTGTTGTGACTCAACCTGACGGTAATATAATTGAGAAAGGAGTTAGAATTAACAACTGGGCATCCACTCTACAAACTGAATTAGTTGCCATACTCACAGCTATTAAATTCATTGAAACCACTGTTACTGACAGTCTCATCATCACTGACTCTCTATCCTCACTACTTGCCCTTGGTACCCTCGACTCAGGTTGTCACGATCTTGTCTCTGAAGCCAGACACAAATATGCGTGCCTTGTTGACCGGGGTGTCAGGGTCAAACTGTTGTGGATCCCCTCTCACATAGGCCTCATAAAACATGACAGAGTTGATGCCCTCGCCAAACTCGCGTCTAACAAAGACACCGTTGAATACAATTTGGGTCTGTCAAAAAGAACCCTTAAAACTGTAATTAGGAAAGAACTTATTGATGAGTTTGACGCAAGTAGACAAGTGCAAACAGGCACTAGTCGATCCATAGGTTACCATGATGAGATGTATCAAGTGAAACATGTATATGGAGCAAGTAACAAGATCACTAGATTACAAGATGTTGTAACCGCTAGATTAAGGTTAGGATATAAGTACCTTTGGCAGTATGTTCCTCAAGCAGATGTAAACAAAACTAAATGTAAAGTGTGTGGCCATACATATGGCCACACACTTGAACACTACGTCCTCGACTGTGTGAAGATAGAACCTTTTAGGGACAGGTCCAAGCACACTGTGTGTGAAATGGCACAACACTTCATCTCTAATGGCAAGATAGCCGACATATTAAGATTGTATCCACTTTTTTGCACTTAGTAACTATATCAATTCTCATGTACAGAACCAAATACGCAATGTGCTTGAATACCTCTCACGTAAATGTGAATAACAAAGTGTGAGGCCAGACATACTGCCTCACACGCCTGTGCTCACGCATTTGTGAATAAGTTACCCTTTATGTATAGAACTAAACAAATAATGTAAATGAAATACTGTGTAACATTCAGTGCCATAATACCCTGACAACGGGGGTTAATTATTATGACCCTTTGTAAACTCTACTCTGTAATCCTTTTGCGCTACCGCTCACAGGATGAGTGTGGGGTGCACAATAAAGTAGCCGCTGTAAGCGGCAAAATAAAAAAATCAATCGCACACACAGTTCATGAATGGTGGTCATTTTGTCCAGTTCATGAAATGGGTTCCTAACCTAACCTTAACCAAGCCAACTTAACCTAGCCTAACCAAACCTAAAATTCCCCAGCATAGGTAGGTTAGGTTAGGTTAGGTTAGGTTAATTTGGGAGCCATTTACGAAATGAAGAAAATGGTGACAGGTGTAACAATATCTAATGTTGTTGCTTTCTTAATGTGGTGTTTTGTTTCTAAGATAAGTGGCACTTTTATTTATGTTGTCATGGTAACTGTTGTTGTTATTCAGTGATTAATACAAAAGATTTTCCTGTAGTTATTGTTTACAGTTTACACAGTTCCAGATGATGTTATTGTTAAGTTATTAATGCCATTATTGTTTACAGTTTACACAGTTCCAGATGATGTTATTGTTAAGTTATTAATGCCATTATTATTTACAGTTTACACAGTTCCAGATGATGTTATTGTTAAGTTATTAATGCCATTATTGTTTACAGTTTACACAGTTCCAGATGATGTTATTGTTAAGTTATTAATGCCATTATTATTTACAGTTTACACAGTTCCAGATGATGTTATTGTTAAGTTATTAATGCCATTATTGTTTACAGTTTACACAGTTCCAGATGATGTTATTGTTAAGTTATTAATGCCATTATTATTTACAGTTTACACAGTTCCAAATGATGTTATTGTTAAGTTATTAATGCCATTATTATTTACAGTTTACACAGTTCCAGATGATGTTATTGCTAAGTTATTAATGCCATTATTGTTTACAGTTTACGCAGCTACGGATGGTGCTATTGTTAAGTTATAAAAGCCGTTATTGTTTACAGTTTACACAACCACAGACGGTGCTATTATTAAGTTATTAATGCCCTTATTGTTTACATAGCCACAGCTGGTGTTATTGTTAAGTTATTTATGCCATCATTTTTTACACAGCCACAGATGGTGTTATTGTTAAGTTATTAATACCCTTATTGTTTACACAGCCACAGATGGTGTTATTGTTAAGTTATTAATACCGCTATTGTTTACACAGCCATAGATGGTGCAATTATTAAGTTATTAATGCCCTTATTGTTTACATAGCCACAGCTGATGTTATTATTAAGTTATTAATGCCTTTATTGTTTACATAGCCACAGGTGGTGTTATTGTTAAGTTATTTATATCATCATTGTTTACACAGCCACAGATGGTGTTATTGTTAACTTATTAATACCGTTATTGCTTACACAGCCACAGATGGTGTTGTTAAGTTATTAATACCGCTATTGTTTACACAGCCACAGATGGTGTTGTTAAGTTATTAATACCGCTACTGTTTACACAGCCACAGATGGTGTTATTGTTAAGTTACTAATGCCGTCATTGTTTACAGTCTATACAGCCACAGATGGTGTTGGTAAGTTATTAATACCGCTATTGTTTACACAGCCACAGATAGTGTTGTTAAGTTATTAATACCGCTATTGTTTACACACCACAGATGGTGTTATTGTTAACATCATTGTTTACCTCACAGTGGCGCCGGTGGAGGTGAGGATCTTGGGTTCAGGATCAGCGGTGACGGCAGGAACCACCATGAGGCTTGTGTGTCGCGCCGCGGGTTCACACCCCCCAGCCCACCTTACCTGGTGGCGTGGCCACTCCCGCCTCCCCCAGGTCATCTACGCTGTGAGTATACCCTCGTCCTCTTCCCCAGGTCACCTACGCTGTGAGTATACCCTCGTCCTCTTCCCCAGGTCACATACGCTGTGAGTATACCCCCGTCCTCTTCCCCAGGTCACCCACGCTGTGAGTATACGCTCCCCAGGTCACCACGCTGTGAGTATACCCCTCGTCTCTTCCCCCAGGTCACCTACGCTGTGAATATACCCCGTCCTCTTCCCCAGGTCACCCACGCTGTGAGTATACCCCGTCCTCTTCCCCAGGTCACCTACGCTGTGAGTACCCTCGTCCTCTTCCCCAGGTCACCTACGCTGTGAGTATGCCCCCTTCTCCTCCCCAGGTCACCCAAGCTGTGAGTACAGTATACCCCCGTCCTCTTCCGCAGGTCACCCACGCTGTGAGTATCTCCCAGCACCCTACCCCTCCTGTCCGCCACCCAAGATCACTCACACTGTGAGTATGTCCGAGCACATTATCCCCTGGTCCCCACCTCAAGTCACCCACGCTGTAAGTATACCCCAGCACACCCCCACTGATCCTCCGCCAAGGTCAGCCAATTATAATCTCAGTTAATCTCACGTTAAAGTCAATTGTTTACATAGTCCCTTAGGCTAATGCCCATGTCAACCCTGCTGTCTGGATTATATGCTTAATCCTTGGATATACAAGAGAGAGAGAGAGAGAGAGAGAGAGAGAGAGAGAGAGAGAGAGAGAGAGAGAGAGAGCCATGGAGTGTCGCCGTGATCTTAAAGGGTCCATCATTTACCAACTTCAGGTGTTGTAGGTTTTTACGCTGCTGAAGTTCTACTGATATAATGCCTCAGTTTAGTCACCGTATGTAAGTTCAGGAGAAAACATCATGGGTTTCGGCTCATCAGATTTAAACTTTTTTTTGTTCATGAATGGACTGAACTACGGACAGCGAACTTTTCACTCAAACCCTCAGTACTGAAGCAATTAAGAGTTAACCCAGAGTATCAGCCACGTAGGGCCTGACAACACATAACACAGAGATAGGATAGGAATTTCTCGCTCATAATGTGTGGAGGTTTAATATAGTGCTGGGTTTATATGATGAGTCAGTGGTATATATTACTCACCGTCGACCATGCAACACGTACAGCGACGGCGCCTCATTAACACACTAACTTTTTTAAGTCCGCTGATTAATCTGACTTCTGTCTGTCTGTCTGTCTGTCTGTCTGTCTGTCTGTCTGTCTGCCTGTGTGTGTGTGTGTGTGTGTGTGCGTCCCAGACATTTATGTAAATATTTACATTTTCCTACCCTTCTCTCACTCTCTTCTCATCCTCTCATTCCCCTTCTCCTAACCTCTCACTCTCTCTCTATCCTCTTCTCCTTACCTCTCTATCTCTCTCTCTCTTCCCACCCTCACTTTCCCCTTCGCCCTACCTCTCTATATCTCTATCTTTCTGCCTCTCTTTCCCCCTTTCTCTTTTTCCAACCTCTCTCTCCCCTTCTTACTTCTTTATCTTTATCATGCTCTCTCTTTCCCCCTTTATCTCTATCTTGTTCTCCTTTCCCAACCACTCTCTCCCCTTCTCATCACCTCTCTCTCTCTCTCCCACCCCACTCTTTTATATTCTCTCTAAATCTTTCCACTTCTCAACCTCTTTCTTTTCTTCTTCTCTCCATTTCTTCCTGCCTCTCTGAGTCTCTACCTCTCTTCATGCCTATCTCTTCTCTCTACATTATATAAAGATAAGACTAAAGAAACACAACTGCGTGGAATTTTGGAGGGTTAATGTGGAGTTAAAAATTGACCATTTTTGCCGAGGTTTTCTACTAACCAATGTTTTACCTGTCCAAGGCGAGCTTAACTTGCCCTGACAAGGTGGATGTGTGCCAACTTTACTTCCGTTAAATGTATATCAACATAAGAATATTTTTATTTCAAGTGCAAATGTGTAAACCTATATTTATATATGTAAGTGTGTGCATGATAGTGTGTGTATATGTAATAGGTTCTTTGTTTGTCAAATTAAGTGTGTGTGTGTGTGTGTGTGTGTGTGTGTGTGTGTGTGTGTGTGTGTGTGTGTGTGTGTGTGTGTGTGTGTGTGTATTTTCTTCTCTTCGCTTGGAATGACACAGACTAGAACAAGTTAAGGAAGAGAACGTGTAGCTGGGAAGAATACTCGTCGTGTGGACACTCCTGACCGCTGGCAGGTGATGAAGGGCGGTGCTGCAAAAATGGTGTTGAAACAGTCAGGGTCAGTGAAGTGTACACACACTTTCCGGAAAACGAGTGTGATGGAAGAGGAGGGGAACAAAGGTAGGATGGACACTGATGATGGTAAGAAAGTCTTAATTGTTGGTGATTCACAGATAAGGTGTACGGATTGTGCTTTTTGTAACGAGAAGAGGAGAGATAGTGTGAGGGTGTGTGTATTCCCGGAGATGGGGTGGCAGGCAGACTTGGTAAACAGGCTGGACAACTTCATGTTCGGCAATGGCAATTAACCCAATATCTGCCTTAGTGAAGAAGGCAATGATATTGGCGGTGTGAGAGTCAGTAGTTGTTTGGTGGGAAATTCAGGGACGCTGTAGAGATTATGAGGAGGAAGGGAAACTGTCATCAAGAAGAATAGCTGGAGTCAATAGCTGTCCAGGACAATTGGTATCACCTAACAGCGGGACAAATATTGTGAGGTGAAGACAATTCCATTCACCGATAAATGGGGTATAGTCTATGGCCAGAGCAACTAATCTTACCTCTGTCTGTCTGTCTGTCTGTGTTAGGTGGTAGCCATACATGACTCATTAGAGGGAGTTGCTCCTAGGATTCCACTGCCTTAAATAATTAGACAATAAAGGTACAGGATGTCAATTTGTAATACAACGGTAAATAGCAATTACATCAATAAGAGGGCCAGAGATATATGCCTTTAAGTAAATGGATTATATGAACAATATAACTAACCTAAATATTTCCTTAACGATAACAGAAGTGTGAGAAATATAAAGGAAGAAATACTAGGACTTGGGTGTACAGAGGAGAGATATAATGACTTTTACAGAAACTTGGACTTAAATAGATTCAAGAGAGCTACTTACTGAATAATAAATGAGGGGATATGAATTATTTCACAGTGATGGAAAAATCCTGAAGAGAAGAGGGGTAGCAGTCTTTGTTAAAGGAAATTCGAAAATTTATATGATAAAAACTAACAATAATTAAAAAATAATAAAGATAGAACGAACGAAGGTAGAGAAAATGTATTAGTATGGGAAACATATCACTAAACTTTAACAGAATAGAAGATCAATTTATATGAATGAAATAACCAAGGTGGTGAGTAACTCTGACTGGAAATATGGAATTTCCGTTTTTTTAATATAGAAAAAAAGTTGATGAACGTACCTAGAGGAATAATCTTCCTGGCCAAGTTTTATCAGTGAAAGTATTATAAATAACAGTAAAGTATGGAGCGAGTTAGGAAATAGCGGCCATAAAGAAATCAGATTTGATATAGAATGAGGACACTGCGAGGCGAGGAGGAGAGGGAAGGGAGTACCACTAGTCGTAGCTTTTCGTAATGTTGATTATAATGACACTTAAGGGATATAGGTTAGGTTAAGTTAGGGTTAAGGTTAAGTTTAAGTTAGGATTAAGGTTAAGTTAGGGTTAAGGTTAAGTTAGGGTTAAAGTTAAGTTAGGGTTAATGTTAAGGTTAGGTTAGGTCAGGTTTGGTTAGGTTACGTTACATTACGTTACGTTTAGAAACTGATCGAATCCCAGAGGTAAACGTTGCCTGAACCAGAAGTTCAATAAGTCAGTTAGTCAAGCGTTGTACAGTACCAGAACCGCCAAGGAGAGACAATGCCACACCCATCTTTATAAAGGTAGGACAGGTCACTAAGCTAAAATTGACGTCTAACACCAATTAAGGGGAAATTAAAGAAAGATATAATTACAAATTCAATTCGTATTTCGAGTGAAAGGTATGATTAATTAGTGACTTTTAACCCGGCCTTAATAGAGAGTGCTTGTGTCTGACTGTTATTTTTCCTCTTTCTTCGAATTTGAAGCGGTGGACAACAGGGTCGCGTAAGATATTTTTGAACACGAACTAAAGACAGCTTTTGATTGAGTTCCACACGAGAGAAAAGAAAGAAAGTAGGGCTACATGACACTGGAAAGGAAATTCTAAGTTGAATCAGGGAAAAAAAGAATCAGGATGTGTGTGTGTGTGTTCAAGAGCTCGTGGCAACACCCACGATCCAAACACTGACATCTCATTGACTACATCATTGTCAGAGAAAAAGATGACAGAGATATCCTCATTACCTGTGCCCTGCGTGGTTCAGACCACTGTGACACTGATCATCGATTTGTCAGAGCCAAGCTCTCACTTCACGTTGCCCCAAAACGGAGAAGGTAGCAAGCCTCCAGAAGAGGTTTTAATACTAAGCGTCTGGAGGACCAAGCAGTAGCACATGCTTTCAGAGAGTAGCTCGAACATGGGCTTTCAAACAACCCAACAACAAACAACACAAATTTCAGTGCCGAATGGGATACTCTCAACACTCTTATAACAAAAACCCGTAGAGAGACCCTCGGCCAGATCAAAAGAATACACAAGCAATGGGTTGATGAAAATTACCCGGCAAACAAAGTACTGACTGGCAGAACAACCCTCAGTATTGGACCAAAGCTAACACCTTCCACAAGAAGAAAGCAGCAGCCCAGTGGGAACTTCGCATGTGAAATACAAAAACATGCAGATCAGCACAAGATGCGCGAATTTTTCAATTCCAATAAAACATTTTATGGGCCAACCTTTCGTGGTGCAGCCCCCACCCCAACCCCCCTCCCGCTCATCTGACAGTAACTTCATAATTGAAGACGATGAAGGGCTCCTTCAGCGCTGGAAGGAGCAGTAGCATTCATTGCTCAACCGAAACATCGATGTGGATGTCCTGACTACCCAGCAGGTCCCTTAGCATCCAGAGCTGATCCACCTCAGCTATCCTCCATCCCTGGATG